GAGAGAGAGAGAGAGAGAGAGAGAGAGAGAGAGAGAGAGAGAGAGAGAGAGAGAGAGAGCGGCGCCTGCATTATTCCTCCATTTGGCTCGGCTCCTAAGTAGGGAAGGTGATTTGGCTCAGCATGCACCACGAGAGCGACCGCCCCCTCCCCTCCGGCCGTGCTGGGGGAGGGGGTGCATTGTCCCCCTGGGGGGAGCCTAGTACCGCTAAAGTTCCTGTAGCGGGTATAACGTGAAGAATTAAGTAGGACGGCGTGAGTGGACCCGCGAGAAGTTGCAGGCCGGCCTCCCGAGAGAGAGAGAGAGAGAGAGAGAGAGAGAGAGAGAGAGAGAGAGAGAGAGAGTGATGGATGTTCTTCCGCGCCCGCGGACTGTGTCTGACAGCGTTTTTACATCGAAAACTTTTTCCGTGTGTGTTGACAGTTGGTGGGCGGCGAGTTCGACATGGAGCTCAACTTCGTCATCCAGGACTCGCACAACATCAGGCACATGCTGGAGCTCCTGGATCACTGCCCGGCCAACCTCCAGGTGAGTCTGAACTGTCAAAACATCCGCGTGTCTGCTGCAGTCACGCCATCCCATCGTGGCATTTACGCACTGTGAAAATACAAAGTTTGTCATTTCCAAAAAAAACACGCAGGATAGTTGTGCTCCGAGAAAATTTCGTGAAAACGAATGTTTTGTGATTTACTGCTCTTGACAGTAATTTCGTCGGAATTGGATCATATTTACGGCAAGATTTTATTATTTGACAAAAGTTTGGTTGAATGTCTGTTGATGGTCCAAGCAGTATGAGAGACTTATCTCCAATCGAAATAACATTTAATGTAAATGATAAATTCCACGATCTATTCAATCACCACACACATCCCGGCATGACCACGATCTTCCTTTACTGTGTATATCGCTATGGTCAGATTTGAACAGCATCCCCTCTCGGATGCTTTGCAATCAGTGTGAGAGTCGACTTCCATTATGAAACTGGGCGGGGGGAGGGGGGGCGTTGCTCTCCGCGGGAGGTAGCGGCCGGAGGGAGAGGGGGGGGAGAGAAAGAGAGAGGCACAGAGAGAGGGGGCCGCTGTGGTGAGGTTGTTTACGCGTGAAGCATCGGTTGACCGAAAACAATGGAGGCAGTATGAGGCGGAACGAGGGGTGGTACGGTGTGTGTGTGTGTGTGGGTGGAGGAGGGAGGAGGGGGGAGGGGGTGATGCCTTGTTAGGGGGGTAGGTCGGCCTGCTGATGCGTGAGCCACACAACTTGGGGCCACCCTCTTATTTAATTACGTGCACCCCCTCCGCTACCATCCCTCCCCCACCCCTCTCTTTCCGCCGTTCTGCTACTTTAAAAGTTTTAAGTGGTCGTGTATAGAAGCTTGACGTAACGTACCAACGACGTCGCTTCAACGACGTCCGCGGTTCACTATGAGGAGTAGACGTGAAGGGCGCGTAATTGATTATTATAGGTTTGGTATGAACACTTTTTTGTCACTTTCAATGCCGTCGTCGCCAAGCTTGCCAAAAGTTTGGCTAGCAAAAAGGTCAAATGTTGGTCAAGCTAGGCGACCACGGCGTTGGGTGGTGTTCAGAGTCTTCAGTTAATCTTTATTCATTTGCGTGTATGGTATCAGATTTTTTTTGCCATCTGAAGGTGCTTCGTCAATTCCAGCTGACAGTCGCATTCACCTTCCTTTACACGCTCACAGACTCACACACTCACCTACACCCCCCTACTCCCACGCACACACGCCACGCTTACATTTTCCGGGGAGGCGAGACGGGGGACGGGCGCCAGGGGAGTGCCGCGCGCGCCGCTGTCGCCGTCCATAGCGGGTGTCGCTCACGCCACGCCCCGCCACGCCCCGCCACGCCCCGCCACGCCCCGCCACGCCGCGCCGTCCCCGAAGTGAGCCGTGCGCACCTAGGGGAAAACTCCCCGTCAGACTAGGAACCCGGCGCGGCTGGGGGACGAAAGAGATGGTCGTGGGAGAGGGAGAGGAGGGATTCGAGAAAGGGGGAGACGGGCGACGGCAACGACGCGTCGTGGAATGACGACAAACGGGCGAATCAAATTCCGCCATCCCGCAAAACGGAAGACAACGACGACGACACGAAATGCCACGAATAGCGGTGATGGCTGAACCATAGAACTGGGGAAGTGGCTATGGGAAGGAGAAGGGCGAAGTAGGGTAGAGAAACAAGAAAAGTACGATTGGGGCGGAGATTCAGTAGGTGCGGAAAAGGGAGGAGGAGGGTAGTAAAGAGTAAGGTTTGACATAAAATACCACTCTGGGTGCGAGGATTTTGCAGAAGGCGGGCTGACCGTGCGGCACTGTGGCGCCGCGCCACGGGTCGCCGAGCCGCCGCGGCGCGGACATGTTGTGCCGGTCCGTGCGCCACCGTTAAATTATCAACCCCTGTGGGGTGAGGCGGGCTGGGGTGTGGCGGGGCGGGGCGGGGCGAGCGCCGTACCGCTGCGCTCCTGACCGGCACTTCAAAGAGGTGTGTCCACGTTTCATTTCGGGCCCTTTTCGGCCCGCTCTCTTTTTACCTAATTAATTCCGTCCCCCTACCACATCTCCGCCACGACGCACGAAGGCAGGCGTATGTGTGTGAGAAAGAGAGAGAGAGAGAGAGAGAGAGAGAGAGAGAGAGAGAGAGAGGGAGAGGACGGGGTGGGTGGGTAGCTTTTGGGCTTTTGGTACCTGCTGGTCAATTAGGTTTGAGCCCCCTCTAACCTTGCCCAAGCCACCCGCACCCCACCTGTGCCGAGTGTGTGGGCGGCCAAGATAATAAAAATGGGCTATTGCCCTCTCGATCCTTTCCTTCTCACACGCACGCACACACGCCCTCTCTCTAATCTCGCTCTTTCTGCGCGGTACAGGGAGTGTAGTGCCCCCCCCCCCCCCTTCTCTCCCCCTCTCTCTCTCTCCTCCAGCCCGCTTACACCGGGCCGCTACAGTGGCTTTGGCCGCGGCTCCAGCGAGTAACGGTCGGCGCCGCTCTCGGAGCGTCCGGCGGCTGCAGCGGCACCGCACGGCGATCAAAGTAATGTCCGTTACGCTGAGGTTTCTGCTGCGGCTTGGGCCGCCGAGGTCCCGCCCGGCCGGCCGGCTGCTGTGTGGTGTGGCCGGGCCGGGCGGGCTGGGATATTGCCCCAGTGCCTCCCCCGCGGTTCGCAGCAGCAGTGTGCGGCGCCAGAGGCCGCCGCCGCTGCCGCCGCCGGCCGGGGCTGTTAAACACGGTGATCGTATTTGCCGACTCTTACGAAACGCAGATTTTGCAGTTCGTCTGGGCAGAGAGAGAGAGAGAGACGGGGGTGGCTGGGCGGAGAGAATTTTTGAGACGCGTGCAAACAGAAAGAAAGTGTCGCATTTATTATTATTTATTTATTTGCAGGGGA